GGGTATGGGACTGAAATTTAAGATTACAGTCAAGGAGAAGACCTAGAAATTTGTCCTCCATGTGTCTTGATATAGGGGAACCATTTAACAGTACGTTAAGTTGGATATTTGAGGATCTGTTGCCAAACAGCATAAAGTATGTTTTGTCTGTTGAGAGTGAGTTTGTTGGTCATCACCCAAGTATATATCTTTAGCAGTTCATTGTTTACAGTGTTTCTAAGCACAGTTGGGTCTGAATGGGAGTAGACATATGTAGTGTCATCTGCAAATAGAACTAGTTTAAGGAGTTGGGATGCATTGAGGAGATCATTGATGTAGATGAGAGAGAGGATTGGGCCTAGGACACTACCTTGGGGTACTCCTATAGCTACAGGTTGGATAGCAGAGTTCATTCCTTTTGCATGTACATACTGGTGTCTGTCATTAAGATAGGATTTTAGGTAGTCAAGAGAATGTCATCTGATGCCATAATGATTCAGTGAGATGCAAGAGATTGCGGTCGACTGTGTCAAACACTTTTCGTAGGTTGACAAAGAGCCGCAGAGGATATTCATTTTTATCAAGGGCTGTGTATATTAGTTCAAGCATATGTATAATAGTGTCATTCGTGCTTTTTTTTTTTGGTCTAAACCCAAACTGGCATGGGTTAAGTATGTTGTTGGATCTTATAAAGTCGCTTGTGTATTATTTTTTCAAATATCTTGGGAAGTAAGGGCAAGTTTAATATGGGTCTATAGTTGTTCAAGTCAGTTTTGGATTGGGGTAACCCTTACTCTCTTGAGTATAGATGGGAAGGTTGAGGATGCTACAGATTTGTTAAACATTGTTGCAGTAATGGGTGACAGTTCATGTGCAGCTTTTTTATATATGAATGGTGGAAAGTTATCTAGATCACCTGCTTTGTTCTTTAATGAATTAATGACGAGTGAGACTTCAATGAAATTAGTTGGAGCTAGAAATAGAGTATTAGGGTAGTTGCCAGTGAGGTACTCATTTGGCTGGGTATTTGAGCTAGGAATTTGACTTGCTAGCTTTGATCTTGCAGTAGAGAAGAAGACATTAAATTTGTCAGCCATGTCTGTAGGCTGTATTTGAGGTTCATCTGGTTTAGTTAAGTTTATCTCTCTGTTTCCAGACGGTTTCCTATAGCCCAAAATTTTGGAGAGGGTTTGCCGGGTACTTTTCATATCACCTTTTATTTAAATAAATCTATTTTCATAATACATTTGCTTCGATTTTCGTATTAGTTTTGTGAGTATTGATGTGTATTGTTTAGTTAATTCTTTAGTAATTAAGCCTTATCTGAACTGTTTTTCAAGTTGGTGTTTTTATTAATAGATTTGAGGATACTTGTTGTTATCCATGGACTGTTTAGTCTCTTTTCTGTAATCTGTTTTGTTTTGATTGAACCTTGCTTGTTATAGAGGTTTAGGGTTTTATGTAAAAAAATTTAGACATCTTTATTGATATTATTACTGTCAGCTAGCTCTCTGCCAATCAGTGGCACCTAGTGGTAGTTTTAGGTTGTTTATCGATGTCTCATCATGCATGCGAAATGAGATCTTTCTTGTTTCTTGAGGCAGTTTAGATAAGTTGGTTATGAGAAAGGTAGGGTAGTGGTCTGTGGTGTTGTCTGTGATTATACCTGCTTGTAGTGGGGATATCGTGTTGGTCCACATATGATCAAGTAATGAGGCACTTGTCTCAAGATTCTTGTTGGCTTCGTTATAGAGGGTAGCAACAAGCTGTTGTTCATAGTATTTGTGAAATCAGCTACTGGAGGGTCAGTTGCTTGGATGAGATTTATGTTGAAATCTCCTTCTAGTATCAGATGGTGTTTATTCAACTCTGACTCAATTATCATGTTTCTAGGGTTACTGCTAAAAGTGTAGTATTTGTGTGTGGTAGTCTGTAGACTGCACTAACTGTTATAGGTTTCTTAAGTGTTCTTGATGTGAACTTAGCTATTATATATTCGCGATTTTCTGGTTCATGTAGAGAGAATGGAGCGAAACAGAATGGCTTTGAGAGTGTATAAATCTGTAGTGGAGGGAAGGTGGGGTAGGGGTCAGCCTAGGAAAGATTGGAGGGAGGGGGTAAAGGAGGTTTTGTGTGCGAGGGGCTTGGACTTCCAACAAGCATGCATGAGCATATTTGATAGGAGTGAATGGAGACAAATGGTTTTTAATACTTGACTTGCTGTTGGAGTGTGAGCAAAGTAACATTTATGAAGGGATTCAGGGAAAATGGCAGGCCAAACTTGAGTCCTGGAAATTGGAAGTACAGTGTCTGCACTCTGATGGTGGGGTGTTAATGTTGCAGCTTTATAAACTGTAGTATAAAGCACTCCTCTGGCAAGACAGTGATGGAATGAATGATGATGAAAGTTTTTCTTTTTTGAGCCACCCTGCCTTGGTGGGTATCGGCTGATGTGTTAATAAAAATAAGATAAAATAGTTCATCAGAGTAATAAATGGCAGTGCCTCCTCCTGATTGGTCAGTATAAATAATAGAAGTCCTCAGGTTGTTCTTCAACTCTATATATCCTTGGTTAGGCCTCATTTAGACTATGCCGCTCTGTTCTGGTCACCGTATTACAGAATGGATACAAATGCTCTGGAAAACGTACAGAGGAGGGTGACAAAGATGATCCCATGTATCAGAAATCTTCCCTATGAGGATAGACTGAGGGCCCTGAATCTGCACTCTCTCGAAAGGCGTAGAATTCGGGGGGATATGATCGAGGTGTATAAATGGAAAACAGGAATAAATAAAGGGGATGTAAATAGCGTGCTGAAAATTTCCAGCCAAGACAGGACTCGCAGCAATGGTTTCAAGTTGGAAAAATTCAGATTCAGAAAGGATATAGGAAAGCACTGGTTTTGTAATAGAGTTGTGGATGAGTGGAACAAACTCCCGAGTACAGTTATTCAGGCTAAAGCGTTGCGTAGTTTTAAAAATAGGTTAGATAAATACATGAGTGGGTGTGGGTGAGTGCGAGTTGGACCTGACTAGCTGGTGCTGCTGGGTCTGGTGCAGTGCTCCATCCTTAAGTGGAGATGATCAGACTGGGTGGGTCATTGGGCTAATCCGTGGGGGGTCATTGGTCTAATCCAGGGGGGACATGGACCTGCTCCGCATGGGTCAGTAGGCCTGTTGCAGTGTTCCTTCTTTCTTATGTTCTTATGTAACCAGGTATGGTAAATATGTATGTCAAATCTTGTCTGAGCCAGGTTTCAGTAAGTATAATGAAAGTTATAGTAGCATTTAGAGACTTCAGTAATGCAATGAGGTCATCATAGTGTTTACTTAATGATTAACATTATAGTTGAAAACTGTAATGTTCTTGCTGACACTGAGAAGGGTATTAGGCTGACTAGCAGTGTAGTAATGGCAATTACTGTTAGGATTATGTGTGCAGTTCAATAAAAGGTTGATATCAGGATCGATAATTGCATTCATAAGGGGTACGTAGAGAAATAGCTGTTACAATTATTAAAGAACAAAAAGAATTGAGTTAAACCATTAAAAGATATAACAATGAATAAGATAATTATTTTTAAAAACTAAAAAATGGGCTACTAAAATAAAAGCAAAAAAAAATAAGACACTTTGGCACCTTGATTTTTTTAAGTTGGGAAATTGAGGGGAGGAGGAGGGAAGCATTTTTATAGTTTGGATGGGGGAAAAACCCTTCCCGGGGACTTGATAGAAAAGCTTTTGGGTTACTTTTATTTAATGAAAAACCCAAGTAGGTTGGACCCGTTTCCCGCCAACAATCTCCTGGGTTTGGTCCTCCCCTTTAAGAATTCCTTGGGCCTTTGGCATTCCGTGAAGGGTTAATCCCAGGGGGGTTGGGCCGCTGTGTCAAGGGTGTTTTTCCTTTTTTAAAATTTTTTAGTTAAACCATTGAAATTTTTAACTTTGAGACCCAAAAGGTTTCCCAAATATAATAAGGTTTAGTTAGCAACCCCCTTCAAAATTTCTAACCCATCTATTCTTAACCTTTTAAACCCAAGGGGTTTGGAAACTGAATTTCTTGGCCAAGGGTATTAAATTTCCAGAAAAAGAAACATTATTTAAAAATTATTGGTGTTTCTAGTTAACGGAGGCTTGTAACAATGGGGGGCCCTAAAACTTTACTTTTGGACAAAAACTTGTTTTTATCAAAAAGGAAAATTTCTAAAAAAAATTTATCAAAAATAAGGCTAGGGATGCGAAAAGGGCTGTTATGGGGTAAAGTAGTGGTTTCCCAGTATAAAATAAAACAAAGAAAAATAAAACACTTAAGTACCTGAATTAGCACCTTAAATAGCACCTTATGTGTCTTAAGTAACTGGGAATTAATTACTGTTATTCACTAATAGATATGAAAATATGGGTTAAAATAAGGGTAAATTCTACTATACTACAGCACTGTACATGGTTGATATTGTATTGAGATATTGCTTAACGAGGTTCAGTCAAACCAGTGAATGAGAGGAAACATGCTAGTTCTCGATCATTTGTTATTTCAAACCTATGACCCGTGTCTGATAATTTTACCATGATAATGCCATCACGAGTAAAGCACTGTTTTGTTGTTGCATTATCATGCTTAAGTTTTCGAAGTCTCTATAATAGGTTCTGTCGTTTTTTAGTTAGGCACTCATTTACATACACATTACTCCTTTTCTTGATGGAGGAACTTATTAGGTCCTTTTTTACATCAGTGGAATTGAATTTTAACCTAACACTTTGCGTTTGACCCGGCCTGCCTAGCAGTCGGGCCTCCTTGATATCACTTGCTGTCTAGAGAAAACTGTGGCACAGAAATGTGTGTGTGTATGTGTTCTAAAGTAATTTTGATATCATAGTATCTCTTTTAAGATAATTAGGAAGCATTTTTAAGATAATTTTATTATGTGTATTGTAAGGCATATTTTAAAGGAGATCAGAGATACCACTCATTATTGTCTTATTTCATAATAAACTATATTTAACTTTGTTTACTTTATTAGGTCCTGCACAACAACTACCTCATGATAAGAATAGATAGTTATGAATCGGACAACACATGTTCTGACTGGTTCTGTTACCATGCTACATCCCCTTGTATCTTTCCTGCTGGATTCTGTGAGATGAACAACATTACCCTCACTCCTCCTAGAGGTTATGAGGGACAGTTCTCATGGTTTACTTACCTCAAGAAGACTCAGGCCACTGCAGCACCACCAGCACTCTTCAATAGAGTAAGTTACTCTTCAAGTACGCTATTAAATCTACTCGTTATTCTTCACCATTAAGTCGGCTTTCAAGCACTGTATTCTGTTGAGTCTAATCCTTCTTCTTTTGCATTCTTTCTTGAAGTACTCTATTTATTAACCCTTAAACTGTCCAAACATAGATCTACGTACACGTGCGTAATGCTCTGGACATAGATCTACGTCTGATTTTACATGCTTTCTTGTGTAAAAAAACGTTGATCTACGATCGGAGTGCTACGCACGTGGGCACAGATCTATGTTTGGACAGTTTAAGGGTTAAGGATTGCATTATTCCTCAGTTTTTCTTCTTCCTCTCACCTGTAAATTAATACTAAGCTTTCTAATTAGTATTGGTCTAGAAACGGTAAAAATTTTGATCCTATTGTTGTTGCCATTAATTTTTCTCTGTTCAAGTGCATTAAAATAAATGACTATAAATATATTATTAGACAGTGATTAAACCATCCCAGCGGGATTGAACCCGCAGTCATAGAGTCTCAAAACTCCAGCCCGTCGCGTTAGCCACTAGACCAGCAGGTTCAATCCCGGCCGGTGGTATGGTTTGTTTGCAATCGTGTCATTACGATTTCTTGAGACAGTGATTACGTATGAATGAAGTGAAAGTGTTGAATGATGATGAAAGTAGTATTTTCTTTTTGGGTCACCCTTGTGCACCCTTGTGCTTTAGCGCTTCTTTTTTAATTATAATAAATAATTTGGGTCACCCTGCCTGGGTGGGAGATGGCTGACTTGTTGAAAAAAAAAAAATATACGTCTAAATACATCTGAGTAGACTTGTATAATTAACCTTTAAACGGTCCAAACGTATATATAATTTTTTACTGCTAGTGTCCCAGACGTATATATACGATTTTATTTTTCCTGCCTTCAAATTTGGTATGATTGGCTTGAGATGCTTTGTCAGCATAGAATGGGTCCTAACACTCAGTGTGTGTGTTATTAAAAAAAATCTGGGACCACTTAGTACCTTGTGGAGAACCAGTTCAAATGAGTGCCAGCTAGAGCAAACAGCACAGCAAATACCTGGGCATTCACTGATGTCATGTAGTATTAACACTCCCATTTTAAGAGGAAAGTGATTTTGACCCTGAGTTTAGTGGCTTTGAGGTGGATGTGGCCACAAGTGGTCGAGGAAATATCAAAAAACCTCGATAATAACTCATGTGCAATATTTGTGCAACACCCTTTCAGAATGTCTTATAACCTATGTCCTAAGTCAAGAGAAACAGTTCTGGCAGGCTGGCTGGCTGGCTGGCTGGCTGCCTGGCTGGATGACTGACTGGCTGGCCAGCTGCATGGTCGCCAGCTGTGTGGCTGGCCGGCTGCTGGCAGCCTGGCTCTATCTCGGTTTGTCTGTCTGCATCTTTGTCTATCTCTGTCTCTGTCTGTCTGTCTATCTTTGTCTCTATCTGTCTCTTTCTATTCCTGTCTATCTGCTTCTGTCTATCTCTTTCTGTCTGTCTATCTCTGTCTCACAGGTACACATAAATACTGTACTGTACATGTATACATAGTGTAAATTACCTAGGATAACCCCAAAAATCCAGAAAAAGTGCTATACTCTGCTTGAAGATGTGAGTAAAGGTGATGACGCAGTCTTGTGGCTCTCCTGAGACAGACAGCTAGACGGATAGACAGGGAGCTTGACAGACAGACATGTTTGTGTACCAGTGAAAACAAAGGATGGCGATGCTCATCAAAGGTCACCTCTAATCTTTTCTTATCTGCTGCACCCTCCCCCACCTTCATGTATGCTCATCAAACATCAGCTCTTATCAGATGTTATCTCATCATGTCACTGTCAGGGGTGGACTTTGTTTTTCATGCTTCAAGGCAACTTATTATTTTATTATTATTACGTATGTATTTCCTCCTCCCTCATCTACCTCCCTCCCCTCCCTCCCTTCATCCCCTCCCCTCCCTCCCTTCCCCCCTCCCTCCCCTCCCTCCCCCTCCCTCCCCCTCCCCTCCCCTCCCCTCCCCCTCCCTCTTCCCTCCCCTCCCCCTCCCCTCCCCTCCTCCACTCTTTCACCTCCCTCACTCTTTCCCTCCTCCCCTCCCTCCCTCCCCTTTTCCCTCCCTCCCTCCCTCCCTCATCATCCCTCCCATCCTCCCCTCCCTCCCATCCCTCCATCCCTCCCCATCCCCCCCCTCCCCCCTCCCCCCTCCCCTCCCCCTCCCCATCCCTCCCCCCATCCCCCCCCCCATCCCCTCCCTCCCTCCCCCCTCCCCTCCACCCTCCCCTCCCTCCCCCCTCCCTCCCCTCCCCTCCCCTCCCTCCCCCCTCCCTCCCTCCCCCCTCCCTCCCTCCTCCCCTCCCCCCCCTCCCCTCCCTCCCCTCCCCCCCCCTCCCTCCTTCCCCTCCCTCCCCTCCCCTCCTCCCCTCCCCTCCCTCCCCCCTCCCCCTCCCTCTCCCCTCCCTCCTCCCCCCCTCCCCTCCCTCCCCCCTCCCCCCCTCCATCCCCCCTCCCCTCCCTCCCTCCCCTCCCTCCCCTCCCCCTCCCCTCCCTCCCCCTCCTCTCCCTCCCCCTCCTCCCTCCCTAATACTAGTGACAGAACAAAGACATGTCGGCGGATGGATTTATCAAGGATGAGGTTAATCATAGAATTGATGAGGGAAAAAAGGTGAGTGGTGCGTTGAGGTATATGTGAGTCAAAAAATGTTATCTATGGAGGGAAAGAAGGGAATGTATGAAAGTATAGTAGTACCAACACTCTTATACGGGTGTGAAGCTTGGGTTGTGAATGCAGCAGCGAGGAGACGGATGGAGCCAGTGGAGATGTCCTGTTTAAGGGCAATGTGTGGTGTAAATATTATGGAGAAAATTCGGAGTGTGGAAATTAGGAGAAGGTGTGGAGTTAATAAAGTATTAGTCAGAGGGCTGAAGAGGGGTTGTTGAGGTGGTTTGGTCATTTAGAGAGAATGGATCAAAGTAGAATGACATGGAGAGCATTTAAATCGGTAGGAGAAGGAAGACGGGGTAGGGGTCGTCCTCGAAAAGGCTGGAAGGAAGGGGTAGGGGAGGTTTTATGGGCGAGGGGCTTGGACTTCTAGCAGGCGTGCATGAGCGTGTTCGATAGGAGTGAATGGAGACGAATGGTATTTGGGACCTGACGATCTGTTGGAGTGTGAGCAGGGTAATATTTAGTGAAGGGATTCAGGGAAACCGGTTATTTTTATATAGCCGGACTTGAGTCCTGGAAATGAGAAGTACAATGCCTGCACTCTAAAGGAGGGGTTTTGGGATATTAGCAGTTTGGAGGGATATGTTGTGTATCTTTATACATATATGCATCTAAACTGTTGTGTTCTGAGCACCTCTGCAAAAACAGTGATTATGTGTGAGTGAGGTGAAAGTGTTGAATGATAATGAAAGTATTTTCTTTTTGGGGATTTTTTTTCTTTTTTGGGTCACCCTGCCTCGGTGGGAGACGGCCAACTTGTTAAAAAAAAAAAAATCAACTTCTTCTATACTCCTCCTCCCCAATTTGATATCCAATTTTTCTTTATCTAAATCATTTGATACTCTCATCACCTTACTCTTTTCTATGTTCACTTTCAACTTTCTACCTTTACACACGCTCCCAAATTCGTCCACTAACCTTTGCAATTTTTCTTTAGAATCTCCCATAAGCACAGTATCATCAGCAAAAAGTAACTGTTTCACTTCCCATTTTGTATTTAATTACCCATAATTTAATCCCACCCCTCTCCCCAACACCCTAGCATTTACTTCTTTTACAACCCCATCTATAAATATATTAAACATCCATGGTGACATTACACATCCCTGTCTAAGACCTACTTTTACCGGGAAGTAGTCTCCCTCTCTTCTACACACACTAACCTGAGCCTCACTATCCTCATAAAAACTCTTTATAGCATTTAGTAACTTACCACCTATTCCATATACTTGCAACATCTGCCACATTGCTTCCCTATCCACTCTATCATATGCCTTCTCTAAATCCATAAATGCAGTAAAAACTTCCTGCCTTTATCTAAATACTGCTCACATATATGCTTCACTGTAAACACTTGATTACAACATCCCTACCCATCTAAAACCCCTGTCATCCTAAAATTCTACATTCTGTCTTACCTCTAATTCTTTCAGTATAACCTACCTACATTTTCCGGGTATATCATTAAGTATTCCTCTATAATTTTTACAATCTCTTTTGTTCTTTTCCCTTTATATAGGAAAGTTCCCTTTCCCCCTCATTCATACATTTATTAAACAAAATACAACCGTTCCAAAACATGTGTGGACTCCTGCCTTTTAACATTTCTTTTCATGATCCGTCAGTTCCAGCTGCTTACCCCTTTCATTCTACGTAATGCCTCACGCACTCCCCCACACTCACTGCTCTTCTTCACCCCTAAAGATGGTATACTCCTGGCCATGCATGAAATTAACCGCCTCCCTTTCTTATCGACTTTTAAAAAGTTCCTCAAATATTCTTCGCCATCTACCAAACTCCATTCCACATCTGCAAAAAACTCCCCTACTCTGTTTTTAAAAGGATTTCCATTCGTTCGGTAGGCTTTCTTAACTTGTTAACCCTCACTCCAAATTTTTTTCTATTTTCATTTAAATTTTCTTGACAGTACCTGTCCCTTCTATGATCCGCTTCCTTTTGCACTCTCTCACATCTCTTACCTTCGATTTATTGAGGGAAAACCCAAATTTCCTTAAAATGTTCTGTTAAAAATTGATCGGGATACCTGCACCCTTCTCAGTTACAGTACACAACATTGAAAATTTGAACAGATCAGATGGTTGTTCTCAAGTTATAAGTAAAAATTTTGGGAAGATGAAAAAATGAAATGGCACCATGTAATTCGAGAAAACCCAAATTAAAGTTATCCTTTGGGGATATCTGACTTAATACATATATGATGTAGATGCGTGTCGGGTTTGGTAGTTTTTTGAAATGTGATGTAATGGAATCATACTGTATTATGCTTGTTAATGA